GGGTACATCATAAGAAACGCTGGGCTGGAGGAAGCACAAGCTGGAATCAAGATTGCCAGGAGAAATATCAATAAACTCAGATAGGCAGATGACATCACCCTTATGGCAGAAAATGAAGAAGAACTAAAGAGCCTCTTGATGAAAGTGAAAGAGGAGAGTGAAAAAGTTGGCTTAAAGCTCAACATTTAGAAAACTAAGATCATGGCATCTGGTCCCATTACTTCATGGCAGATAGACGGGAAACAGTGGAAACAGTGGCAACAGTGGCTGACTTTATTTTTCTGGGCCCAAAATCACTGCAGGTGATGATTGCAGCAATGAAATTAAAAGACACTTACTCCTTGGAAGGAAAGTTATGACCAACCTAGACAGCATATTAAAAAGCAGATATTACTTTGCCAACGAAGGTCTGTCTAGTCAAGGCTCTGGTTTTTCCAGTGGTCATGTATGGATGTGAGAGTTGGACTATAAAGAAAGCTGAGCACTGAAGAATTGATGCTTTTGAACTGTGGTATTGGAGAAGACTCTTGAGAGTTCCTTGGACTGCAAGGAGATCTAACCAGTCCATCCTAAGGGAGATCAGTCCTTGGTGTTCATTGGAAGCTGAAACTCCAATACTTTGGCCACCTGATGCAAAGAGCTGACTCATTGGAAAAGACCCTGATGTTGGGAAAGATTGAGGGCAGGAGGAGAAGGGGACAACAGAGGATGAGATGGTTGGATGGCATCATCGACTTGATGGACATGGGTTTGGGTGGACTCCGGGAGTTGGTGATGGACGGGGAGGCCTGCCGTGCTGCAGTCCATAGGGTTGCAAAGAGTCGGACACGACTGAGCGACTGAACTGAACTAAACTGAACTGCTAGTTGGAGACACTGCTTTTCATTTACTTTTTCGTTTCAATAAAAAGGCAACCTGACTTTCCTATGTTGGTGAACATAGAGTGTTCCTCCCCCCTCCCCGATTTCTCTCCTTTAGTTAATGGATCATGAAAAATCACAAAGTCCTATTAAAAACGAACTGGTTCAGAACATCCCTCCCTCTGGTTAGCAGCTCCTGAGGATTCTACAGAACAGTCTCCCGAGGTGCTCCCTTTTCCTCCCTGATGTCACCAGAGCCCAGTCCTGGAAGAATTTTGTTGAAAAGAGAAAAAAACAGTGTGCTGCTGGACTGCTCTTTCTACCCGGCTCCCAGCCAGGCCTTTTTCTCCTACAATTTCCCAGTGATCCAGCCGGTGACTGCTTCCTGCCCCCTGCTATGCTGGCCCAGGGTGGGGGTGGGGGGTTGAAGATTTTACTGTTCTTCAGTAATCATGCAGATTAACAGCTGCATGTTCAGTAGCTTGAGGCTTCCCTTAAATTGAGATGGCTGGGGCCACACATTCCACAAGCGGTTGGAAACAGTTCTGCCTTGGCTTCCTTATTATGAGAAAGTGACTGTGACTGTGGAGGAATAAAGCAATGGTTTTGATGTCTTTTTTTTCATGCAGCCCATAAAGAAAAAGGCGGCTTTGTATCCCTGTCCATGCTTGGTTTGGGCAAATAGACCCTCTGTGATCAAGTCCTTAATTTTCCCTCTCACCGCCCTCCCTGTTACCTGCAGCAGGACGTCTTATTTGTAGGTAGCATGCTTGCAATGCCCACCCCCATCCAGTTGCTCTGAGACCCTGACTCAGGCTGCTAAATAGAGTATTATATCCATTTGGTCTTTCTTAGAATTGTACACAGTTCATCAGCCTGCTATGACCTTCCTTCCATTAGTAGCTGTGGCTGAATTTTGTGATATCCCTTTCTTTTCTGCTTCTGAGGTAATTTTGGGGAATACGTGGAAATCTAAATCTCCTGCTGGTCGACAGGCAAGAGCTGGGTACTAGAGGCCTTGTGGTTGATGCGGTATTTGATTCTTTTTCATTCTGATTAAGCCTCTGGAGACTCATAGTCCAAACATGAAGGACAAATGGATTTTAAATTAGTTCTTTGGGTCCGAAAACTCTGGCTGCAAGTACAGAAGGTTAATGGTCTTGTAGGCATTTTTTGGGGGGGCATTTTTACTTGCATCTCAGTTTTACAGCTTTGAGTCCTTATGTGAGCCCATACGTGGCTCCCTTTCACCAGAGATGAGCTGTGAGAACTAAATCCAGAAATAATAGATATAGTTTAAGGAAAGACAGGTAACCTGCAGAGAGACTGAGGTTGTTTTGACTTCTGTGCATCAGAGCAAGCCCGCTCTCAGTAGGGCAGAGGAAGACATGGGAAAGCCCTGTCTTGGTCTGTAAATGTCTAGACAGCACAGAATCAAAGGCTGTCAACCTTTCTCCCTATTCTGAGTTATCCACTCAGGGGAAATGGTCCTGTTGCTTTTTTTAAAAAAAGAATTTCTGAGGAGTGGACATTTATTAAATAAGGAAAAAGTTCACTTGCTGATCTGAGTGTGATATGTGATTACTCATTCAATATTGGAAGTGGTGGAAGTCACATGTAAACAGCATATATTAACAGTTAAGCATGAGATGTATGATTTCCTCAACTAGTAGCAAAGAAAGTGATAAAATAGCAGATACTTGATTAAAAGAAACTCAGATGAAGAAGATAAATAACTGTAGCTGAAATTGTAATGGTCTTCCCTGTATATCACCATCAGTCTTTCGGCTCAAATGAAGATTTGAACGTACAGCTACCAGAAATTCCAAAATTGAAAGCAAATTTTCAAGTGCCAGGATGAAATCTTCTGCAATAATATATAATGTAGTAGCTCCATTTACTACTGCAGAGATTATCAAAGTCCGTTGTTGTTTTAAAAGGCAGTGTGTCTTAATAGCAGTGTGCTTTTATCTCTCTGATGGAAAAATGGCCCTAAATCGGCCTAAAATAACCCTACCGAGCACATTTCACACCTCTGCACAAGGCGCTGGGGGTTTCTATGGGAGGAGGCTGCTTGCTTGGGTTGAAAGAGACTTGATTTGGAAAGGGGAGTGATTGTTATAGACAGTAGGTACTTGCATTCAATTAAGGCCACAGAGAACTGCTGCCCTTCTGCCACCTTCCTCTAGGTCTTGGGGGTAGCAGTGGATTAAAGGTGTTTTTGAGATGATGGAAGTAAAAAGAAAACAGTTTATGAAGTTGAAGACTGAGTGCTAAGTGGAAAAGTTTTATCACCAACCTGAAAACCTGTGTCCAGACTGTGGGGGGATGAGGTGTGAGGAGTGGGGAGAAATAGGGTAGGTCCTTCAAAGTCAAACATCATGAACTTCTCTGTGTTATTAGACAGCAAAGTCTCTGAGTGTGGCTGGAGGGCTGCTGGTGTGTGAGCTGCTCAGTGGGCTGGCCAGACATGGTTAGCTGCATATGCGGGGGTGTCGGTTTTGGGATATGGAGATTGGGATATGACACATTGTGTCCAGTTGCCCCTGCTTTGCATGTGACACCCAGGTCAGGATTGTGTGGCCCCATCAGCTCTGCACCAATATCAGCAGGTTCATAGCCAAGTCAAGGTTTATCAGTGGCCAGAGTACTAAGGAGATAAAGAGAGGATCCTATACATATGTCCTTTTGGTTTATGATACTCCTTTGGCCATTTCTACATTGAGTCGCAAAGAAATCAGGAACAAGCTGTTTGATCTGGGCAATTTGCTTAGCTTCTCTGAGCCTCAGCTTGCTCTTTGCTGATGACCCTTCCCTCCCTCTACCCCCATCACCCAACCCCCAGCCTCCAAGTGTGAGTCCTTCTTCTTGTATTTCTTCCCAGACACTACTAACTCCTCCAAACTCTGGTCAACTCATTAAACTGGCTAATTTAAAAGGTGATCAGTTGAAAAGTCAAGATGTGGATTAGGAAGCTACCTAGTTGTTAGTGTCTTCAATCGGAAAAAAAAGCCATTTATCCTTTAGAGTAGAAGAAAAAATGTGTTAAATTCTGTGATCTAGAACATTTATAATGCATCTGACCACAAATTGCAAGACTCACTGAAATGACGTTTAAATCTCACAGTACCCCGAGACTGAGCCAATACCAGTGAGGAATGTAGCGAAGAGACTGTTTCATCCTTGATCTGAGGTTTTCTTCCTTTTAAATACAATCTTGATAATGATTTCCCATATACCTCCTTCCTTTCTCTGTTGCCTTAACCTTGAAACTTGATTTGCTATCCACTGGGCAATGCTGATTTGCAACTTGACTAGATGGGATGGAAGAGAAGGGTTTGCAGCTGTAAAACAACCCTGCTTTTCCATTTCAGAGAGAGGGCATCTCTAAGTGGGACTTGGCTGGGTGCTACTCAAGGTAAGAATCAAGGAAGGGTCATATTCTCAGTCCCCAACTGGGTGAACCACCCCAGGGGACCTTAGGCAGCACATTGCTGATGCAGAAAGGTGGGTCTGCCCTGCAGAGTGGTGGTAAGACTTGTAGGACTCTGGCTGCAGTGTTGAGTCATTGGATGAGAAAGCTGGACAGAGTGGCCTTCAGGGCTCCCAGGTAGAGCACAGGGCAGTTCTCTCAGCTCACCAATGGTAAACTAGTAGCAATGTCTTTAAAGAAGCATGAAAGAGACTTACTAACTTTTTAATAAAGGGTAGGTTTTTGCCCTAATGCTAAAAACACATTATACTCTGTCACCTTTATGTTTCTATTCAAACTATCATCTATCTTCTCCATCCTTTCTTCTTTCTGGTATCCCCATCCCCAGTCCTCCATCTGGGCATCCTGAGACAAAATTGAAGTGTGGGCAGAGCTTGCCCGTGGCAGCTCCAGGACTCTGTGCTGCCCTTCATCTCCCTGCTCCCCATCCTTAGGGCCCAGGAAATATCCTCAATTACTTGTTCTCCAGTGGGTGGTGGAACACAGGCTGGGATGAACCACCAGCTTCCACTGCAACTTCTGTCCTTTACTACAAAGCCTCCAAAACCACTCTGTGCCATGGTCTCTCCACATATATTAACTGATAATAATCCTTACTCAGTCAGTAGGATGTTTTCAGCAATGAATAATAGAAAATTCAAGTCAAATATCTTCAACATTCAGAATGTTTACTGACTCCCAAACAGGAAGCCCAGGCTAGGGAGGGGTTAAACCAGCACCACCTCTCCTAAACCTAAACCAGCTTTCCTTTCCTTGTGAGCCACATCCTTCAGCTAATCTGGAGGTGGAGGCAGCAGTCCCCAGCGGAGAAAGACAGGGTTGCCTCTGGGAGGTGTTCTGAAAGAGTAGGTGAGCAAGAAATTGCTACCAGCAGCCTGGAAAACTTGTTCCTGAATCTCAGTAACTTGAACTGAGTCACATGGGGAGTGGGATCACCCTTAGACCAACTGGGCTCACCTCTGGATCTGGGTCAGGTAAGCTTCCCTGAGGGCACTGGGGCTTCAAGGGGAGGGGAGGGTGCCACAACAAAATCTGAACTCCCATTAGAAATGGGTGGGGGTTAAGGAGGCCAGGGCAGCAATAGACATTGTCCGCTTCATGTGCTTCTCTGGAGGGTCTGGGCCCTCCACCCCGCCCCCGCCCCCACCCCAAAAGAAATAATAGGAAAAAAGGGATGACAACACACTGGTGCCTGAAAATACTAAGTTCATATAAGGGACAGTTAAAAAGTTAACGCTGTCAGGCTGTAGATGATTTGTTTTAGGGGAGCATCCAGCCTAATAGGAAGTTTTAGCCTGTAAAGGTCCCAACCTTTAATGATGAGATTTAGTTCCCTATGTGCAGTCACTGGCATATGTTTGGGATGTGAGATAGATTTCCAATATCTGACTGTCATGGCTTGCATAAGAATCTCGGGCCAGCCTGGCTTCCCTTGGCATTCTGGAGCATATCCACACCACAGCATAGGAGCTGGAATGGCCATGCTTTCTGTGGGATAACCATTGTCATCAAATGATGCTCATTTTAGAGGAGGCAGTTACCGCTATGCTTAATTTACACCCACAGCTGAAGATGTACCTTGAGGCTAAAATTTTAAAACTTGTCCAGAGACATCAGGTTGTGTCACCTTGAGTTCTCTTGGAGGAAAGAATGCAGAGCAAGCCAGTGCTTATTCCTGTTGGTGGGTGGTCTTCTTCCAGAAGCCACAGATGGCTGAGCCACACCCCAGGAGTTTCTGATACAGGAAGTCTGGAAAATTTGCACCTTGAACAAGTTTCCAGGTGATGCTGATGCTCTGGTCCAGGGACCACACTTAGTGAACCACATCCCCTGACCTAGGGGATGAACAATGGAGTGTGATTTATAGCAAAGGAAAAAGAAAAACAGCAGCTATCCAAATGCAGTTGGCTTCATCCCTATTCTGGCTTTGTTCATTATTCTCAATATGTTCCCCCATTCACTAAAGTGTCCTAGGTCATTCGTTCATGGAAGGATCCCCTTTTTTCTCGATAATCTGGAGCTCCTTGTGGAAGAGTGATAGATTTGTAGTCTGTCGTCTATGAGGAGCTGAAGATTTTGCCCCCATGGCTGTTTATAATGTACAAGAGAAAAATCGTGTTCCTAGAGGTGTTAACCCTCTCTGCAATGATATTCAACACTGGAAAGCACGAGGAAGTCCAGAACAGAAACCCTATACAGTGGCTCTGGAGAACCTGTAACTAATGGGCACTTGTAAATCTAACAGGATTTCCTACTGGTGTGAATGCCTTCGGTAAAATGCTCATTAAACTGTCAGCTCACAGAGAGGTGTTGCTCCTGGGAAGAGGGTCACAGCATCCTGGGGAGGAAAGAAGTCTCCCCAGGCCACCAGGGTTCTTCCCTCCCCTGATCACTTACCACCCACTTCAGACTCCTTCCAAAGCCCTTCAGAGGGTTTTTACAACTCTGTTCCAATTCCATCAGAAAATTATTCATTTTCTCCAATCCAAAATCCTTGTTGAAGAAGATCTCTTCTATGGAAATGGAGAATAGCTAACCACTGTCCATGGTAGAACAGTACTTCTATACTTAAAATCAGTTTGTTTCAACAGTGAAAAATATTAATGTTTATTTTTACTCAAAAAACACTTGCACATCAGTTAAAAAAAATTATATAGCACAAAATGGTATATAATGAAAACTGAGTTTCCTTCCCATCTCTGGCCCCTGGGCCAACTGCCCAGAATTAACCTCTAACACCTCTTTAGTGTGTACTTACCAGAAGTTTTCAAACACGTATTTGTGTACACACACACACACACATTCACACACGTATTTTTAAACTCAATGACGCATCTTGGAGTCTCTTCACATTAGCACATACACTTCTTTGTAAAAATGTATTATAAATTATTTAATCAGGTCTTTATTTATGATATTTTGTCATTTCCAGTTCTAAACTTCCAGACAATGTTATAGATGCATCTTTGATTATACTGGCAAATATAAGATTTCCTAAAGCAGAGTTGCTGGGTCAAATGTTTTATGTATTTTTAAATGTGGCACTGAGAGAGGGGATCAGGAGGCAGACTGACTGAAACTACAGTCACAGACAACTAGCCAATCTGATCACATGGACCACAGCCTTGCCTAACTCAATGAAACTAAGCCATGCCATATGGGGCCACCCAAGATGGACAGGTCATGGTGGAGAGGTCTGACAGAATGTGATCCACTGGAGAAGGGAATGGCAAAGCACTTCAGTATTCTTGCCTTGAGAACCCCATGAACAGTATGAAAAGGCAAAAAGATAGGACACTGAAAGATGAACTCCCCAGGTCAGTAGGTGCCAATATGCTACTAGAGATCAGTGGAGGAATAACTACAGAAAGAATGAAGGGATGGAGCCAAAGCAAAGACAACACCCAGTTGTGAATGGGACTGGTGATAGAAGCAAGATTCGATGCTGTAAAGAGCAATATTGCATAGGAACCTGGAATGTTAGGTCCATGAATCAAGGCAAATTGGAAGTGGTCAAACAGGAGATGGCAAGAGTGAACATTGACATT